TTCAAAGGCGGCTTGCATGCCTAGAATATGGTTGAGTCAAAGGGACAGGGTCCGGGCGTTGATACATACGGTCGACTTCTTTGGTTGAACTACTGCTGCTAGCGACGGGTTGAGAACGCGGGGGTTGGTCCATGGCCCAGACGTTAGTGTTGCCAAAGGTGGCACTTGTTGGGCTGGCCAAGACGCGTTCGCCGCCACTACTGTACATGCTCTTGGAGCGATAGCCGCTCGAAGTCGAGCTCGTCGGCGAGGGCCGCAGGGTGCGTAATTCAGATTGAAGCCACATTTCTGGCAACGACTTGGATGAGGTGGGTATGGGCATAGACGACATGTTCATGTCGGCCGCGCTGTACATGCTCGGGTAGTTTGTGTTGCTCATCGGTTGTTGCATTTGCATGTGTTGTGTATACATTTGTCGAGAAAAGCTAGGATCTGAATATCGCTCTGGTCGCATACTCATGGGTTCGGTATATCCCTATTGAGTGGGTCAGGAGATGCTTGGCCATTGCATGAACCACTTACCGAATGATGCCCATTAATGTTTTCGGGATCCATGAGGGACCGCACAAACATACTGGTCGTACCCCAAGGATCCGTATCGACAGCGCTGCTGGATCCAGGGGCCATACTTAAACCGCCAGTGGTGCCTAAACCTTGGGAGGGCTGTCCACCGCTCACATCAAGGCCGAATGCGCCGGCAATGTCGAGGTTTGACTCATGTTGGTGAACGTCTACCCGCGGTTGCGCATTGTCGAATATGGCACGTATATTGCCTGAACCAGCGCTCATGTCCCGGGAGTTCTTCCAGGAAGTGTCCAATGTAGTCGAACGGCCCGTATCAAACAGACTATAGCTTGGGAAGCTAGGATAGCCGGTAAAACCGGCGGAAATTGGAGACTCTGGCGGGGCAACAGAAGCCAACAACTTGCTATTAAAGTGTGGGAAGGCGTCCGCGAATGAATCACTCCGTGGCCTTCGCAAGTCACTTTTGGTTTCGGGGAAAAGCGGTACTTGCGCTTCCCGGAGATACTGTATGAGGACCTCTGTCGCGCTTTGGAGACAATCCATATTATTGCGGGTAAAGCGGAAGATAAAGGCTACTTCAGCCTCCTTCTCTTCCATTTGCGTAGAGGGACCGCTGGAGTTGCTGCTCGTGAGTGAGTTCGTCGGTGAATCTGGACAGTCAGAGAAGGTCATTGAGAGGCGTGATTTTTGTGGTTCCAGTCCTTCTTGTGTATTGGATGCATTGTTCGACACCGCTTTGTCTTCTGAAAGCAGATCAGCACCGAGCACGTTGGATCCCGGTATAGAGGGCGTCGATATCGGTAAGGTTGGGAGGATGAGATCGAAGTTGAACTCTCGTTTGACGCGCGTGACAACTTTGTCTTGAATGTCGGTGTCACCTAATAAGTTGCTAAGCGCCGTAGAGCTCGGCACCCGGTAGTGGTATTCCTCTGGAATGAGCTCCAGGAAGAGCTGCGTCCCTGTATTCAGTTGCGATTCCGGCCCAACAAGCGTCACAATCTCGCTTGCGGATTCTCTGTCAGGCCATCGAATCGTCGTATTCGTTCGTTCCTCAATCTCATGAATAAAGTTGTTGTGTTGCCTAATGAGCTCTCTGTGCAACTGACGCGGAACTGAGATGGTCTGATTGATAAAGTCCTTGTCTCGCGGACTAACAAGCTCCATCACTGAATGCTTGAGATTATCCAAGTTCATCGCGTTCTTGGCAGGTGTTCGAGCAACAACATTATCTTCGTTGTCATAGTAACCGCCAAGGGCAGCAAACTCCTCAGCATTCGAAAACTTGACGTAAACGCCATACTTCTTCATGATGCGTTGAATATTTTTGCCACCAACGCCAATAATCCGCTTGTGATATGTCTCTGGCACGAAGAATGACATTTCTGCTGGCAATTCTTCTTGCAAAAGTGTCAAGCCATCGAGGGCTTTGAGGAAATTGCTGCTGGCGACTTCAATGATGAAGTTATAATCGTTGCAAGGTAAAAATTTGATCTTGACACCGGACGTCTTCATAATTTTGTTGATCTTGCCGTTCTTTTTGCCGCTGATGAACTCTCGTTGCTCGATTGACAACTCCACGTTGAAAACGGTTTCGCGATGATATATTTTCATGAAACTCATTTCGTGGATGCGCTGATATGCGTTTCGTACAGCTCGCTCCGTGCCTAAAACCTCAATACATCCTTCGATGGATTTGTACGTCACCTCGGCACCGGAAGCTTGTGAAAGTTGCGAAACGAGCATCATGAGATGTCCCAGCGATGGGGGATGACTAAATATGCTACCCTCCCGAGTGTTGACGTAGAAGCACGCTTCATACGCATGACATGTCTACGTAGGGAATAGGGTGAGCCTTGCTTGAACCTATGTCTCACTGCGCTTACTTACCAGCATGTTCAACGATCGCAAGGTGCGCTCAACATTGACGCGATTTTCAGCAAAAATGGTAATTGTGCTGCCAGATGATCCCAAGACGGGGAATAAAATGAAAGATCCGTTATCTTGCATAATTGGCTTGATTTCGTCTTGTTTCTGCATCAGCATCCAGTCAAGCTTTCGCGAATGCAACATCGCGTCCTTGTGATACATGGATTTGGCCTGTACAAACGGAATCGTGAAATTAGCAATTGCCCGCCGAGATTCGCACTAAAACGTGCTTACCTTCTGGGCTGCTAACTTGTTCAGCATTTCCTTGGCTCTGGATATACCAAGTGCATCGCCTGTGATGTAGATTACAGAATCAGATCTCTGGTCACCTGCATCGTTAGGTTGTTGCACGGGCTCATCCGCATAAGTAGGATTGTGTATGCCCATAAATGGCGATGGGAAGTAGATATTCGTGGCCGTCTCCTCCATGATCGACGTCACAAAGCATCTCTTACGACCAGATACGATATTGTGGAGCTTTTGCGGTATGACGGTGCTGTCAGACTTCAGGCCAGCCTAGATGGACAAAAACAACCCCAATTAGGTGAAGTTCAGTTGTGCGTACGTTTCAATCCCAAGTCTCGGTTCTGGACCATCACAACTCCGCGACCGTGTTACACGGTGTGATACGTGTGACAAGCCGACGAAATCATCCAGAATAGCCGATGATCGTCCGAGTACCCTTGAACAGGGTAAGACACGGGCCGGAGCCCTCCTTAGACTCATTATTGGGAACCAAAGGATTACTTCGTGACACGACTCTTCAAATTTGGCCGCCCCTAAAATCTGTCACGTACCAGTTCATCCAAAGTGACAAGCACTCTGACGCGAGCAACTTCGGCATCATGTTGCGTTCCGCAGATGATAACTTCGGTATAACATTCGCTCTGGAAGCCTGCTGTTCGTCGGTGGTTTGTGTGTGTATGAAGCGTAATCGTGGTATTCGTCGTCTGTGATATATTGTTAATGTGCGGCCGAAGCAAATCTTGAAACTCGGCCACGCTTGCGATGTGTGAGGGTTTTGGGGCTTTGACGGGCAGCCTGGTCTATGTAGCAAAATATCGGTATGAGATCCCAGCCTGAAGCCCATCGTTGCGCACATACCTGGATGGGGTTATGCCGAAATATATCCCCACGGGCAGCCGCAACGGCGCCCGTCAGACCACTTAATGTTACATTAAATCCTTGCTCGCCGTCTCCGCCAACACGCCGCTTTTGGGGAATGGTCGATGTGGCTGTTTTCATTTTCTTGGCGGAGGCATCCACGGCCGATACAGCTGCATGGCAACCGTGCCGGACAGCAGCAGCCTCGCAAACCCTATGTAAAGCTGTCAAGTTTGCTTCGTCGGCAGATGCTAACGCTGCCGTGGCCGAACTGCCTTGGGTATGTGTGGGATGCAATGACCCCTGGTATTTGTAGTTGGGAAAGCAGAAAGAGTAGGCAATTTGATCCATGTTAGTGATTCCGCTTGGGGTTATGCGACGGGTGGAAAGTAAGTGGATTCGACCGACACTCGCGTTACTTTTGTGTAAGCACGAACTGTAAGGTGCTCACGCTAAGTCGAATAGCGGAAGGTGGTCGATGGCAAAGACGTATAACGTTATTAGATTGGGGTACACGAGTCGATACTGAGCTCCTCTCGCGACTTGTTCCGAGTTCAACTGCTGAGACCAAGACGTAGAGGAAGAGTAAACTAAGCCGGCGTGACCATGAGTCTGGAGCTGTGAAAAGCAATAGTAGGTGCGCTAGTATAGTCGAGCGCTTTGCTATCTATTTCGGATGGTCGGAGGGCGATAGTACCGATATGTCTCTACAGCTAGTGTTCCGCTCAAAGATTGATGCCGTTGCTCTCGAATATGTCGCTGTAGGGAAAGGAGAGGAGACGCTCAAGTAAAATGATTGAGCCTAAAAAAAAGTAACGAAACGAACGTAGAAGTAAACGAAGCCTAACGAGCGAGGGTACGAGAGAGGAAAGAACCGTGAGGGAGAAGGCGCCTCCAAAACAGAAGAAATTGACAAGTCCGAAAATTGCGGATCTTGTTTTTTTTTCTGGCATGGATCCTTGTCTCAGATGGAATTGTACTTTGGTCTGACGATGATCTATCCATAATCGTGCTTATGCCATGATGGATACATTGATCATTGTGTACAGACTGATTTCATCAGTGTTTCCAGCGGATATCTCAATATTCTAACCATTCATGTTAGCGCTAGGCTTCCATTTTCCGGCGTGACCCCGTGACCAACCAGAATTCAGGCAAATGAAAAAATTTTCGGTCGACTTTTTCATGCAAACATCAGCGAAGTTTCATGGCTTATAACCATGCATACAACCCACATAGCGCATCGCGCTGATTCCTCATTGGGTTGAGAATGTCGGTCGCCAATAACGAAGATGCAAAATTCAACCATTGCCAAGCTCGTGTACCGATCTGCGCAGAGGATAGTGACATTAGCATTCCCAAAGAGGTAATTTGCGACATCACAATGTGGCGCAGCAAGATAAAACCCTAATATAAAGACCACGCTACGGGAAAATTTTGTTTGAGGCAAGATGGCCGAGTGGTCCAAGGCGACAGGTTTAGGCCCTGTTCTCGAGAGAGGCGCAGGTTCGAACCCTGCTCTTGTCAACAAACTTTCTTTTTTGTTCCGCACCAATACTGATAGTGTTCCTCAGTGCAAGACGTGAAAGACATCAGAGAGGATCGGAGATTCAGGAGTATGCATTTTCTTTTTACACATAGTGTACATCATGGACTAATAAGTCTAGTATTCACCGCCTCCATCTCCTCGAGATCTACCTCCAGACATTTGACCCATTTGCTGTTTACGTTGTTGCTCTAACTTTGGACAATCCGCAATACGATGACCCAGCCCACCACAGAAGGTACATCCACCGCCCCCATATTTCTCGCTTGGATCCTCCATTGCCATTAAGAATGGAGGGATTTTTTGCTTAGCCTCCCGAAGCAAGTGTTTGAGATCCAATCGAATTTGTTCTGAACATTGTTGATTGATGAAAGTCGTCGCTAAGCCAGTCTTGCCGGACCGACCGGTACGACCAATCCTGTGGACTACAAACAGTGTAAGAATGGTCTCGCTAGTATATTGCAGACCATTCACTTACCATAGTCTTCAATTTCCTTCGGCATGTCATAATTGATGACGTGTTGAATCTCGGAGAAGTCCAATCCCTTGGAAGCGACATCCGTGGCTACGAGGACATCCTTCTTGAAGTTTTTGAACGTTTTGATGGCAAATTCACGTTCCTCTTGGGCTATAATGGAGAAGCACATGAGTCATGGAGGCCATTCGACAGCGATCACCTTACTTTTGTTACCGTGGATAGCAACTGCTTCAACTCCCTTGAGTAACAAATATTCATGGATATCGTCAACGTCGTTCTTATTTTCCGCGAAAATCAAGACTGGTGGCGGTGTCTTTTGCAGACATTCAAGCAGATACATGATCTTCGCATCCTGTTTGACATATTCAACCTCCTGTATAACGTCCAAATTGGCTGCACCGGCTCGACCAACATTGACAACAATAGGTTTAACAAGGGCTGAGACGGCGAAATCCTGGATTTTCTTGGGCATTGTTGCGGAAAATAGTAGCGTTTGCCGTTGATTCTGCAAGCAGCATTTAGCATCGATACGATGTCGCCCGCGGGTTAATTGTACCTTGAAATACGACATGATGTTCCGCACATCATCCTCAAATCCCATGTCAATCATTCGATCAGCCTCATCCAGACAGAGGTATCTGCAGATATCCAAGTTCAGCTTTTTCTTTTCTAGCATATCTTGTAGCCGTCCAGGAGTGGCCACAACCATATGAATGCCTCTATACGATCAATTTTAGACAGAAACCTACGCACTTGGCATGAACTGTTGCATGAACTTACTGTGAAAGTACATGAGATTGCTCTTGCATGTTGATACCACCAATGCAAAGCAACGTACGCAGGCGAGCATAGCCACCCTTTTCCAACTCCTCAGACATTTGTACAATTCCTTCATAGGTTTGTCGCGCCAATTCTCGCTAATAATGCAGACCAGTGAGCGATGATAGCAATATCGAGAAATGTGAAGGTACGCCTACCGATGGACAAATGATCATTCCCAGAGGTCCTTCTCCTCTCACCAACGGGAGCTTTGTTTCATCTTCTAACGCCAACATGACCAGCGGAAGTGAGAAAGCAAGAGTTTTGCCCGAGCCAGTGAAAGCGATGCCAATCATGTCTCGGCCCGAGAGACTTTGAAATCAGACCCGTGCGTTAGTATATTAAAATCGCAAGCGCTTGAGAACATACCTTACTGGCAGACCCTGTATTTGAATAGGCGTGGGCTTGTGAATGCCTTTGCCTTTGAGGAAACTGAGGATAGGTTGCGGAAACTTCATGTCCTGGGATCATTCAGATATGCATTCTGACACTATGTTTGGCGAAGACTTACTCTAAAATGTTTTATCGGCGGTGGCGGGTCCTCTCCTTCGACGATAATATGGAACTTTTGCCGAATCGCATTGTGCTCTTCTTCTGAAAGTCGACGTATGTAGTGCGGTGGCCTCCATGATGTCTTCATAGCTTCTGTATATTGTACTCCGTGAGCAGCTTCGCGCACAGACACCAAGGCCTTGTAGCGCGCCTGCGCCTCCTCAATTCGCTTCTCCTCCTCGAGATGTTGCTGTTCCTCTGTCATACCTGCGAAGATATTAGCGATCCTGCCTCGAACCGAACCTTTTCAAGCTAACCTGCCAGTTCCAATTTCTTTCTCACATCAGCTGCTTGATCAAGAAGGCTTACTCCAGCCTTTGGTCCAGCTTTTGGCTCATCATCGTCTGAAGACTCTCCTTCCTGCGTTTTCGCTGGCGGTGCCTTTCGATTGACCTGCGACTTTTGCAGCGCCGCAGCACGCCGCTGTTTCACGGGAATGTACGGTGTATAGTCGTCCTCCTCGTCGAAAGCGTCCTGTACCGGCATTTCAGAAGGATCGCCAACACCAGACATAGAACATGCGACAACTTACCATTTCAGACGCTGGCCGTTTCTCGATCTCCATTGCCAGTGCCACTAGAAGGGAAACTCGTTCGCTCTGTCAACTCCTGGACAATTGTGGAAGGGAACTTCCGTCACGTGACTGTCTGCTACGTCACGGATTACTTGTACGCGTCTTTAGTCGCACTTGCTTTCGTTCGAATCACCGCGAGAATGGCGGCAGGTCAAGGAGTTATGGAGATAAACGACCAGAACCGCGCAGCTCTGGCTGACTATCTATGGCAGACCTTGAATCCTATCACACAAAAGCAAGGTAAGGTTTATTCGGACTGGCACCACGGTTTTGTGGACTCCAGGAACTTCACACTAGAGAATTCCGAACTTAAGTCTCCATAGCCGAACAGTATCTGCTATCTGTTGAAGGACAGCGTAATTTTCCGATTCTTGTGCTACAACTTGTAGCCAGCGAGCAAACCGATCCAACTCTCAGGTTTGCAGCCTCCGTGTTGTTCAAGAATTACATTAAACGCAACTGGGACGAGGAAGAAGACTCCTCCTCCTCTAAAATCTCTATTGAGGACAGGTTGACCATCAAGGATCAGCTTGTCAACCTTATGACCACCGTTCCTGAGCGCATCCAAATTCAGCTCAGCGAGGCTCTTACGGTCATTGCGAACTACGATTTCCCGCAAAGATGGGAATCACTCTTACCTCAAATGGTGCAAAAGCTCAATCCTGATGATTTTACTGTGAACAATGGAATTTTGCAGACCGCGCACTCGATTTTCAAACGATGGAGACCTCAGTTCCGTTCTGACGAGCTTTTTTATGAAATCAAGCTGGCGTTGGGTCAATTTGCGGAGCCGTACTTGCAATTATTTCGTAGGACAGATGAACTTATCGACCAGCAGCAGAACAATGGCCCAGCTTTGAAGACGCTTGCTCAGACTTTACAACTCCTCATCAAGATCTTCTATGATTTCAATGCCCAAGATCTGCCCGAATTCTTCGAAGACAACATGACAACGTTTATGGACTTCCTTTTCAAATATATTCAATATAGCAATCCACTCCTTGTATCGGACGATGACAAAGAAGCTGGCCCACTTGAACGTATCAAGGCGGGAATTTGCGAGATAGTTGAGCTTTATGCTCAGAACTATGATGAAGATTTCCCTATGCTTCCACGCTTCGTCGAAAGCATATGGCAACTCGTTACAACAACCAGCCAACAACCCAAGTATGATGTCTTAGTCAGCAAAGCGATGGCATTCCTGACATCTGCGGCCAAGCAACCAAAACATCGGGATATGTTCGGATCGGATGCAGTACTGCAACAGTTGTGCGAGAAAATTGCGGTTGCAAATATGGTCATGCGTGAAAGTGACGAGGAACTTTTTGAAGATGATCCTATGGAGTATATCAGGCGCGACTTGGAAGGATCCGACAGCGAAACGCGTAGAAGAGCTGCAGCGGACTTTCTGCGGGGCTTGTTGGAACAGTTTGAGCCTCAAATCACGTCCATCATCCAAGGATACATTGACAAATACATGAGGAAGTACACAGCATCTCCGGAGCAGAATTGGAAGGACAAAGATACGGCTATCTTCCTGATGACTGCTATTGCCACTCGCAGTGTCACGACTCAGTTTGGCACAGCTCAAACGAACCAATTCGTCGACGTTGTTCAATTTTTCTCCGACCATATCATCGGAATTCTGCAGTCTGATATCAACAGCGGCCATCCCATCCTTAGAGTTGATGCTCTCAAATACCTTTATACCTTCCGTACGCAGCTAACAAAGGAGCAGCTACTCACAGTCTTCCCACTTCTCGTCAACCACTTGCAATCCTCGAATTATGTCGTTTATACCTACGCTGCAATCACAATCGAGAGAGTCCTCTACATCACACATCAACGAATACCCGTTTTCACCAAAGATGATATTCGGCCTTATGCACAGCAGCTTTTACAAAGTTTGTTTGCAAAGATCGAACGAGATACCTCACCTGAAAAGCTTGCCGAGAACGATTATCTCATGCGAGCAGTGATGCGAGTAATCATCATCAGTCGCGAGGACATTGCGCCTTATGCGAATGCCATCATTACGGAGCTTAGCAACATCACGGCAGTGATTAGCAAGAACCCCAGCAATCCCCGATTCAACCACTACGTCTTTGATTCCATCGGCGCTCTAATCAGGTAAGTCAAGGAAGTTACTGACAATTACATGCTCACACTGTCTAGATTCATTTGTCCAAACAATCAGAGCGCCTTGGCAGAGTTCGAGGCGGCACTCTTTCCACAATTCCAAACTATTCTCGCGCAGGATGTTCAGGGTTAGTGTCATGTGTATGTGCCGCGTTATGGCACACAAGTACTCACACTAATGATATAGAATTCACGCCCTATGTCTTCCAATTGATGGCTCAGTTACTGGAGATGCATACCGAGTCAGGCTTGCCAACCGCATACCAACAACTTGTTCCCCCTCTTTTGCAACCCAGTCTTTGGGAACAGCATGGTAAGAGCATAAATTTTGGGGGATACTAAGGGCGTGCGTGCTGATGATTTTCTGCAAAGGCAATATCCCTGCTCTGGCTCGACTTGTTCAAGCCCTTCTGACGCAA